GTCCAGAAAGGGAAGGGTATTCCAGGCAGCAGGGAAATGGCACATTTGCATTTTAACAGATGTTCTGAGGGGGGAATGGAAAGAAATGGGAGGAAGGAAATAGAACAGCCTGATGAATGTGGTCTCAGAGGTGACATTTTGGACCTGGGTTACTCCTCTGGCTTCACCGCACTTACCTAGTCACTCGAGGCAGACAGGTCCCTGGCTGCAGTTGCAGGACACAGCCCAGAGCAAGCTACCTCCACCCCTGCCACGAAGGTGTGACAGTCATATAGGCTTTTTAATAACATATGATTTGACTAGCCTCTTGTAGACTGAAATACTCTGAGTTGTGCTGCAGGCATGTGCTCTGTTGTTTGACCTCAGAATGGGGTACCAAGTGCTGTAGAGCCATCTCATGGAGAAGAATCTTGGTCATCTCTGCCCTCCAAAACCTTGCACAGGCCCTGATACAGAGGTGGTTGCAGTGAAAAAGATGATCCCTGAGTTCAGGAAGTTCACCAATGAAGGTGAGTGGGTCCATTTCAAAACTCACTTAGATGGGTAGGGAGCATTTACATCCAACCTCTGCAGGCTGCTGGGACTGGTGGGAGAAATCGCAGGTGCTTCACAATGGCAAGAGCACCATATTTTTTAAGTCTATTTTATTGATTATGCTATTACAGTTGTCCCATTTTTCTCCCCTTTATTCCCCTCCTCCCTATATCCCCCTCCCACCAGCATTGCCCCCCTTAGTTAATGTTCATGGGTCATACATATAGGTTCTTTGGCTTCTCCATTTCCTGTACTATTTTTAACCTACCCCTGTCTATTTTGCATCTACCATTTATGCTCCTTATTCCCTGTACTTTTTCCCCATTTCCCCCCTCCCCGCTGATAACCCTCCATGTGATCTCCATTTCTGTGATTCTGTCCCTGTTCTAGTTGTTTCCTTAGTTTGTTTTTATTTTTTAGGTTCAGTTGTTGATAGTTGTGAGTTTGTTGTCATTTTACTGTTCATAGTTTTGAGAGCTTGTTCAAGTCACTGCTCCAAGCCTTGGTATCCTTCTCTGTAAAAAGAGGAGATGATAATACTCATTCTAGCAGCTTCATGGGGTTACTAAAAGAATCAAAAGAGCTTTCTTTACAAATATGTGAGCCACTCACAAATGTTCTCTGTGCTTAAATGGTCTTTGCTAGCTCTGGATTGGCTTTTCATCTTCTTAGCAACCAAGGGAATTTACAAATGTGTGAATTTATAAATGTTTCAGTGTCTTGGGAATGTTTGCATTTTAAAAGAGAAAGAGTAAAGATGAGGAAATCTTAAGAAAAACTATCTAATAGTGGGATTTTGTGTTGTCTGACTTTAAGGAGCCATATAGTGGAATCACTGCAGGGCGAAGTTGGCATTCAGAATGTCCCTAAAGCTAGCTAGAATTCCAGCAGCTGGATTTCTTTCCACTTCCCACTCCCACCCTGAACCACCATAAGAAACAAAAAGTCCATCTCCAGACAAGCATCCAATCAGTCATAGATTGGACCCTGATCTAGCCCAGGGCAATTAGTTCTGCTTGTGGCACAAGTAGGGTGTTCCAGGCAGCTGGCCAGGTTGATGCCAGTCCCTTCCTTCAGTTCCAGGCTTCAGGATCAGAAGGGAAGTGGGTGATACAATGTGGTACTTCTTGGGTCATCCTGCTACTATCCTTCAAGGACTTCTGAACAGTTGTCTACTCCAAACTTCAGGCTAACCAGACCCATCTGCAGTCCTGGTAGCTCATGGCTCAGCCCTAGTAAGTGTGGCCCAGTAGGAAAGAAGAGAGGAAGAGAAGAGGAAAGCTGTAGTGAGCTCAGTGAAGTCTCTACCACTCTCATCTTAGGTTGCAGAGTTTTTCCTACTGCTCATTGCCCTTCATGAACCTCTAACCCCACTCCTCAGCCCCTGCCCCCTAGGCACAACTAGGGCTCAGTCACATCTGAGGAGAAAGTCATGTATCACTCTAGTAAGAACATACCTATGCAACAGACACAGGGCACCCACACACAGCTTACAAAACTACCATGAACAGTGTCATTGGCACATGTCAAGAGTGACAAGTCTAGCCCTAGCTGGTGTGGCTCAGTGGTGCTCACCTGGGTACTGAAAGGTCACTGGTTCAATTCCTAGTCATGGCACATGCCTGTGTTGCAAGCCAGGTCCCCAGCTGGGGGCATGTGACAGGCAACCAATGGATGGATGTATCTCTTACACATTGGTATTTCTTTCTCCTTCCCTTCCCCTCTCTCTAAAAAGTAAATAAATAAAATTTTTATTTTAAAAAAGAAAAGGAATGTAGAAGAACCCCCATAATTTAACAAAGAGCACCTTACAAATATACCTCTTCAGTACCATCTGTCACCTCTCTCCCCTTCCCTCTCCCAGAGGGAATAGGAAAAGGTTAAGACTGTTTTGGACTTTCTGGATTCAAGCTCTGGCCACATAGCTCACTCACTGGTGATAATCAGTCTTCTCTTGCTCACTTCACCTAGTCTGCCAGATGAAAAAGGAAGGAAAACAGCCACCACCCAATAGTGTGCTTGCTCAGAAGGTTCTGTATAAGAAGGGATTGTTTGAAAGCACCCATAATGTCCTATTAGTTTTACAAGATTCTCTTCCTCTTTTCTTTTAAGAGGGAAAAATAACATAAAAGCAATAAAAAAAAAAAAAAAAGAATGAGGAGTCTAAGGAGTCTAGAGGTAGAAGATCTAGTTCCCAGACCTGGTCCCACCTTCATTAGCTAAGGATATATGGACAAGTGATTTAATCCAAGTCTCAGTTCTCCCACTGGTAAATGGGTTGTCATGAGGAGTAATGCAGGATTGTCATGGAAGTCCCTTGAGATAATAAACATGAACCATCTGTGAGATGTAAAATGATGCAGATATTTTATAATATACACATTCACTAGCTTGATGTTCAAGGTCTGTCTGGAAAAGGATATTGTTACTATAATGAGAATGTTTTGCATGACATTGATGTAACCTGGCAACCAAAGATAGTAGACTAGAATGCAACTGTCCAGAAGTCCTTGAGGGCTGGTAGCAGGATGACCCAAGAAGTACCACGTTGTATTACCCATTTCCCTTCTGATCCTAAAGCCTGGAACTGAAGGAAGGGACTGGCACCAAGGATAGTGGACTGGAATACACATGTGTGAACAATAATGACTTCGCTGTACTAGTCAGTAGTGGCAGTAGACGCCATTGAGTGAGCATGTGTACCATGCAACTTGCATTCAAAATGACTGAGCAAATAGAGCAACAAATCTGCATCAGATTTCACATTAAGCTTGATCACTCCTCCATGGAAACTATTTGGATGATTCAGAAGGCTGAAGCTATTGGCAACTGAAATCACCTTTGAAAGGGAAGAAACTGCAGACCATCACTGAGATTGAGGAAAATAAAACAACCAGGCAGCTGATGGTGATTCCAACAAAGGATTTTTTTCAGAGTGTTTTGAACAGTGGAAGAGATGCTGGTAGAACTGTGTGAGGTCCCAAGGTGCCTACTTTGAAGGAGAATGAGATGTCATCCTATGTACAATATTTCTTGTGCCATGTATCTTCTTCAAGAAATGTCTCTATTTTTCATATTATGTGGCTGGATACTTTCTAAACAGACCTCATACCTGGAACTTACCCCCCCTCTGCCTCAGGTTTCCTAAAGCTCATAGACTTCTTACCAAGTGCTTGGAAGACTCCTTCACAGCCCACGGTACCAGGTATCAGACCCACACACATTTACACTGCATACTGTATAAATATAGGTTTTATTAATTATGAGTGAAATCCCACAAATACAACCAGCATCTCTGTGTGATGGGGAGAATCTGCAGCAGGGTGAGGGAAGATAGATATATACACAGTAATAAAGAGGAAAAAGAGCCCTAGGGAAAGGGAATTGGAAGTAGAATGAGCCTGGACCCACCAGGAAAGCCAGACATACTCCTGGTGTGTCTGTCACCCTGGTGCTCTGGGCATACCTGAGGGCCACCTTAGATGATGGGAAGGGAGGTAAAGAGACATGCCAGCTTATGGAGGAAAGAGAATGCCAGCTTGAAACACAAAAGTGCCATGGGGTGGCAGTGGCCAAGACCAACTTATGTCCATGCTTGTGCTTGTGTTAGGTTCTGAATTTCAGGGAGCTAATGCCCCGTGCCACCACCTGGCTTGGGAGAGAGGGAAGACTGGGAGATAGACACCTGCAGATCCAGAAGATGCCCTAGACGGCACCAGTCTCCTCCTCACAGTCCAAGTGAGGACCCCAGGAAAAGGTTGGCACTGCCCTCCCCACAGCATCCACCACTGCCATGCCACCATTACTCTTTCTCTGAGCCATCAGGGACAGCAAGGGTATGGAGGGCTGAGATTGCCTGTTCTCATGTATGTGCCTGTAACTCTGGAGAAGGGAGGGAGCATTGCAGGAACATGCTGCAGGGGCAGTGAGAAAGGAGGTATGGGTCTTCTCCCATTCACTGCCCCACCCTCCAGAATAAAGTTCATTTGCCGTGGCAGGTGGGAGAAAAACAGCAACATTATTGCAGAGATACCACAAAGCCCTACCCCCACCAAAGGTGATGGAAAGTGGGGAAAGGGTATCCTATCACCCAAGGCTGCTCCAATCCCCAGGATTGGGAGGATGACCAGTCTCTTCCTGTGCTGGGAGGATGTCCCAGCAGATTGTCTAAATCAGCCAGGGTCTTAGGGGGGTGGGGGGAGAAGGTAAGGAGGAGGAAGAGACTTCCAGAGTCCTTCCCGGCTCCATTCCAACATACAAATGGGTCTTCCAGGGACCCCCATCAGGGCCCAACCCTGGAGCCCCAACCTCATAGCAGCTCAGTTTACAAACATTTACGTGGTTAGGACTCCCAGGAGGGGCCACTTTTGTCAGTTGTATGTGGGAGCCTGGAGAGCCTGGGGCTCCCAGGCAGACAACAGAGGAGAATGCTGAGGGCAGGAAGGAGGGTGGTGGCCTCCCTGTGGTCTTTGCATGCAGGTGTCAGAGAAAGAAGGGAGGAAGCTACAAATCACATCAACTTGGGGAGACTTCTGGGCACAGCATGGAGGGCTGCACCCCAATTCTAAGGGCCAGGGCCCAGAGCACAATCAGTCCACCGACCTGTGGAGGAGCTGAGAGAGGGGAAGGCAGCTGTGCCAGCAACCAGTGCTCAAGTCTACAAGGTTAAAACAGTCCCAAAGGGCCGGAGCTGGGGGCCTCCTGCTACAGGACTAAGGCACAGACCAGGGCAAAGCTCTATCTCTCTGACTTGACCCGGTACCGGAGTACAAGGTATGCCAGCAGCCGCAAGGCCAAGAAGAAGATGCCCAAGACCAGGAAGTCCATGTAGAGCTTGGCACCATCCACATCCAGTGCTCGGAGTATACTCTGTGGATCCTGGAAGGGGCAGTGCTCCTTAGAGCAGGTCAGGTCTCCTCGCTCCATGCCGTAGATGGTCAGAATCACACCTTCAAAGCCATACCTAGACAAGCAGGAGCATCAGAGCAGGATACAGAGTAGAGAGGGTCACTGCTCCCTGGGCAAACTGTCAGAGCCAAGATGCAACTCTCTCTTCCCTGGGGCATGGCCTCCTGCAGGGAGGAGCAAGGGCAGATGGCTGGGGAAACAGATACTGACCTGACATAGGAGAGGTAGGAGCTCCATTGCAGGTAGGTGGGAATGGTCTTGAAGCTGACAAAGAAACCGGAGAACAAGAGGACAGGAATAGCAGTAACTGGGCCCACAAACGTGGCCACCTGGAGGGGAGGGGAGGACGCAAGACCATCACGGGGTGACCAGGACAGATCTGAGACTGGGGTGACTTCAAGGTTTCCCATTTATCTCTCCCACTCCTTATGTTAGCCCCTGCTGCCTCCCTTCTTGGGGTCCCCAAATGCCAGACTTCCCACCTGTAGGGAGTTAGAGGCAGCTCCAATGAGTAGCCCCAAAGACTGGGCCACCAAGGCTGTGGCAGTGGCCAGGGCTGAGAAGAGCAGGAAGCGGCTAGTCTCGGTTGGCTGGCCTGTCATCCAGTACACGATGCTGCAGTACACCACTGGGCACACCACCTGGGAAGTGGCATAGAACTGGGCAGTGGAGTTGTGAACCAGGGTCGCAGCAGCCAAACCTTCCACTTTGCCCCAGTAGGAGCCTCTAGGACAGCTATTTCTAGAATTCTCATGCCTAGTCCTGCCTCCATACTTTTGTTTGTACTGCTCCAACCAGGTCACATGTCTCCTTCCCCCCTGGCCACATGAACCTCATTCATCTTCCAGTCTCACCTCTTCCATTAGGCCTACTCTGACCAGTTCAGTCATGGTGAATTCTTCATCTTCTGAGCTCCTAAAGTCTGTCCCACCTGGTCCAGCTTTTTCCTTATATTGTTCATTAACTCTCCATGTGAGTTTTATTCCCCCTGCTGTAGCCACCCTCCCCTCTTGAAGGGCAAGGACCAAACCTACTACATAGTCATACAGGTTGTTCCCTGTACAAAGACACCTAATCAAGAGGCAGCCAGAGGCTAAGATACAGTTGTGCCCTTTCATAGAGCCTTGCACCCTGGCACAGTACAGCATCCATTCTGAGGAAGAGGCATCTTTTTCTAAGTCGCACAAAGGTACCATATGGATTATTGGTGGCCCAAGGTCTTAAAATATGGCGGTGGTAGCAATAACAGCTAACATTTTGGGGGCACTTCAGTATGTGCCAAGTACCATTCTAAGTACTTTACAAAACTCATTTAATTCTCACTACCATTCCCAAGGTAGATACTATCATCAGCCATTTTTATAGATGAGTACACTAAAGCAAAGAGACATGGGGTGACTTGTTCAGTGTCTCACAGTTAGTAAGTAGCAGTAGGCTCCAGAGCCTACACTAGTCTCTATTGCTTCAAATAAAATTTACGGAGTCATCTGTAGTGTTATTATTTTTATCATTTTCTTTTTTATTATTAAATTTTAAAAATGTTTTACTTATTTATTTTTAGGCAGAGGGGAAGGGAGAGAGAAAGAGGAGAGAAACATCAATGTGTGTGGTTGCCCCTCATGCACCTCCTACTGGGACCTGGCCTGCAACCCAGGCACGTGCCCTGACTGGGAATCGAACCAGTGACCCTTAGGTTCATAGGCCTGCACTCAGTACACTGAGCCACACCAGCCAAGGCAATTTTTTTTTATCATTTTCTGTTTGTCATCAGTTGTTTCCACTAGAAAATTAATTCCATGAGGACAAGACTATATCCATCTTATTCCTTGCTATGTCCCAGCTGGGCACAGAGCCTGGTGCATGGTAGGTACTTACCACCCATTTTCTAAGTAAGTAGAAGTAGAGGAAAAGATGATAGGTGATAAGTTTGAGGGGGACAAGCAAGCAAGGATGGAAGAAGTAAGACAGGAAGGAAGCAGTGGGCAGGAGGAAGAGGCTCACCTGAAAGGGCACATCGGCCATGGTCTTGGCCAGGTAATATGCTTTGAGGCTGTACCAGTAGTTGAGATGCTCCCTCATGAAGACTGCCATCTCTAAGGGGACTGAAAACATAGGCATATTAGGCAAAACTGGCTGACACTCTGCCTCAGCATTCCCACCCCTGCCCAGAGCAGCTCAGCTCACAGGTAAGCACAGTTGGCATAAGGGCAGCAAACATGAGGAACAGCATGGAGAAGAAGAGGCAACCCGTGTTGTTGAAGACCTTGCTGGCATCATTGCCAATGTGTAGATAGAGGAGACCAATGAGCACACCAATCACCACATGGGACACGAACCGCAGGTGGGTCAGGACCTGTGTGACAAGGTCATCATGAGGAGAAAGTATAGGTCACAGGCCAGGGATGAGCATCCACACTGGAGTAGGAATGTGGAGCTGTCCTCACAGGCACATAGACCCATAGGTGCGCTGTGGGGGATGGGGTAGCACTGCTAGGATCCTATTCCCCAAAAGGCTAGGCCCATGCCAGCCTCCTCTCCCTCAACTTGATGCCTCACCGTGTCTCTGAGGATAGACAAGAAGGTCCTCTTGAAGAGAATGCAGAACTGTGTGAGGGTGCTGGTGGCAAAGGTGTGGCTTTCAATGGGATCCACTTCCTGGGAAAGAGGAAATTCGGTCAAGTGAGCATATGCACGTATCCACTGCACTCCCAGCCCAAGGAATGGGAAAACCGCCGAGCCTTTCCCCAGGGCAGGGGTCCCCTGTGTCTACAGAAGAAGTCATCACCATTCAGTTTTGTGTCTGGCAAGTGGTCTTTGGGCGTGAATGTGAGATATGGAGAGACACAGGAGGAAGGATAAAAACTTGTAAAGCAGGAGATAGAAAGGGAGTCAAGGACACCCAGGAGGTGATTAGTCACTTCTCTTCTTCTCCGTAATCCATCGTAAAACATTTACTCTAAGGGTACCATAATTTTATGCTGCCATTTTCTCAATAATATTATTTTTTTAAAAATAATAATGATGACAACAACAAAATAATGCTGTCTGCTTCCAAGGATTATAGTATCTCCTTTAAGGAGAACTGGCACTGAACAAACACTGGCTGTAACCAGCTACAGTGTGAACAGCTTTCAAGTGATGATCTTAGTTATCCCAATAACCCTGTGAGTTTTGTATTATCACCTCCAGCTTGGAGATGAGCCACAGTGTCACACCGGCCTCAAGGCCAGAAACTGCATCAGTCTAGTCTAGTGTGCTGGCACCGGGGACAACACACTACAGATGCTCAGTAAAAATTTACTAAAACAATAAATGAACAAGAAAGCAGAAGCTCAAAGAGGTTAAGTAAGTTGTCCAAAGTCACACAGCTGTTAATAGTAGGTCTATTCCAAGTCCTAGGTTTTTCCTAGTACCCAATGGTTGTATGCCTCTGAGGGACATCTCTTTGGCCTCTTTGGCAGGGCCACTGTCATGGTCCCTTCTCCCCTCTCCCACTCTACACTCTCTGCTCTCTTCACCCCTACTCACCAGAGGGCAAGGGGGGCGGGGGGCAGGGACCTCATTCTTCTCAGGGCTCCTCTTCCTCTCAGTCATGGCGCACAGCCCATTCTGCACAGCCCTGAACAGCATGGGGTTCAGGTCTCCATACTCGCCAGAGGCCACCTCAATGACTGGGGGGCACAGAGAGGAGTGCTCAGCTAAGATCTATTCTTGTTCCTAAGGGCAATCCAGCCCCTCCTTGGGTCTGTGTTGAATGCAGGTGACAGTGAGATCTCTGTCTCCAGAAGGCCTAAGTGCATGATCCAAGTCCCCAGTTTTGGTTCCCACGCATATCCCAGCCCCTACCAACAGGCCCTCACTCACTGAAGTCAGCTGGGTTGTGATAGGTGGGGCAATGTAAGCCAAGGCCCTTCAAATAGGGGATCAGATTGGTGACCATACCCTTGAAGATGCACTGACCCTGGCTCAGGATGTAGAGCTGAGGTGGAAAGAAAAGGGTAAAGAAAATAAGACCAGTGAGCCAGACAGACCTCACCAGCACCTCTATTCACCCCCTTCCCTCTTCCCAACTCAGGCCAGTTGTCTTTGAGAACCAGAGACACCCACCTTATCAAACATCTCAAAGAGCTTGGCACTGGGCTGGTGGATGGTGCAGATGATGGTACGGCCTCCCTGGGCCAGGGACTTCATGAGGGACACCACTTGGAAACAGGAGGCGCTGTCCAGACCACTAGCCATAAAGAGACCATCAGGGGGTGGGGTGAGGTGAGCAGAGCCAAGAGAAGGGAATGTTTGAGATAGAGCAGCTACTATGAACAGGATGGAGCTGGCAGGAAGGGGTCACTCTGGCCATCCCTATATCCTATACACACTATGATTCAGACATTTGGAGGTACCAAGAAGCCCAGAGCATTGTTCACTTTAACAAGTATATATTAAGCATCTGCTGAATGCCAGGCACTGGAATTACAATGTTGTATAAATAAGGAGAGTTAAGTGCACAGATCACTTAAGATAATTGAACTGTGCCTTATTCTATTCACATGGAGTGAAAGGAGAAGTATTCAACCCTTCTGTACAACGGTGTTGCAGGGCAGCCAGAGATTTCTGAGTGAGTCCGGAAGAAGAAAGAGCTAACCAAGGTGAAGGTGGTTACCTTCACCACCTTCAGTGGTGAAGGACATTCCAGGCAGAAGACACAGCATATGCAAAACTCAGAGGCATGAAACACATGGCTTCACAAAGAATTATAAGCAATTCAATATTATTAGAGCATAAAATACAAGACAGCATGAAGCAAGATATAAGGTCAGAGTAGCAGTTTCAGAAGACGACTTTGTGAGTCCTCTGACTTTATTCTGAGATTTGCCCATTTGCCAATGGGCATCATTGCATATTGTTATATAGGGGAGTGAGTATTGCCAGAGTTGTCTTTTAGGAAGTTCATTCTGGCAACAGTGTGGAGGAAGTATTGCCTGGGAGAGACCGGAGATGAGGAAATAGGAGTCTGTGGCAGAAATGTAGGCAAGAGTTGATGATGTCCTGAACTTAGCACTGGCACTCAGGATAGGGGTGGGGTGAATCTGAGAGATGGCCAAAGGATGTGAAATCTGAAGGACTTGGTGACTAATGATTGGCTGTTGGGGAGAGAAGGAAAAGGAGGCATCAGTCAAGGATGACATCAGGATTTCTGCCTGTGTGAAGGATGGGGCTGCTACAGCAACAGGATTGGCAGGAATGGAGATGAGGAGTAAGCCCTTATCTTGGCCCCAGAAAGCTGAGAACACAGGCTCTGGTATCCAGTAGCCTTCAGCCCCAGCTAAGGGTGGGAAAGGAAGGGGAGAATTACCTGGTGGGCTCATCAAAGAACATGACAGGTGGATTGTTGACCAGCTCCAGGGCGATGGCCAGGCGCTTCCTCTGCCCTCCGGAGAGCAGGGCTGTCCTCGTGTGGGAGCAGGACATCAGGCCCAATGCTGTCAGGATTTCCGTCACCTGCCCCAGCCCCGCCCCCAACTCCAAATCAGCTTCAGAGTCTCTGCTTCCCTATGTGCCACCCCAATTTAAAGAAGCATCTCCCTTAAGTCTAGTGTGCCAGGCTTGAACACCATTTTTTCACCACCCACCTCAATTCAGGGCCCCAGAACTCAATAGCACCAAAAAAAGATGGCTGTCCCATTTCTCCCCTTCCCTTTCCCCACTCACCAGCTCCTTTTTCACCTCTTGCTTTTCACTCAGCTTCAGGTTAGCAGAGACCTGAGGCCCAGAGAATAGGAGGGTCAGCTATGTATGAGAGGAGACCACTGCCTTGACTCTTAGCCAATGAGGAGGATGGGGACAGCAAACAGAAGGGGCAAGTAGAAAGAGGAGATGTCTATTCTGCCCTTACCATCATAGCTTCCAGCACTGTGAGATGTGGCAGCAGCATGTCATCCTGCATGATGTAACAGGACATCTTGCGGAAGGTCCTCAGTTCCCGTGACTTCCCATTGACCAGGATCTGTCCCTTCATTCCACACTCCCTGCACAAAAATCAGTTGGAGATGGGGTTCAAGGCAATTCCAGAACACCTTCTGTGCTCCCCAGGAGATCCTTCTTTCTGGGTTCTGTCCCCATGCCACCCCAGCCTTGTTCTCACCTGTATCCTGCCAAGATGTTCATAAATGTGGACTTGCCAGCCCCTGAGGGGCCCATGATGCCAATTAGCTCCCGGCGGCAGAATTTACCTGATAGGCACTTGAGGAGAGTCTTATAACCTGCATGGAGGGAGGAACTTTTGACAAGGGATGTAGTGAACAGAGGCATCCTGAACTTTTAGGAGCAGCCATGGCTATCAGTAAAACAAGCAGTCCTTACCTGGTATGAACTGGTTAGGATAAAGCAGTAACCCTCAGAGTCCCAACAATAACCCACACCTCTTATCCTGCCCTCTAGAAATGACACTACTAATGTCAAGGTACTAGAGGTGACAATACTCTTCGGAAAGCCATGGAAACCCCCCTCCTATATCATGGATAGGCATGTAGAGGGGGTTGGGGTTATTAAAAGCCTGATTTGCTTCTATAAACACAAGGATCATGCTCTCACCTCCTCCAGGAAGACTTTACCAATGATACAGCCTGAGCTTGCTGACTGTCCTCTCTGTTCCCATAGCACTTCTCATATGCCAGCATGTCCCTCCCACCAGTGAGCTCCTTGGGGGCAGGGTCTTTGTCTTACTCACATTTGTAACCTCAGCAGACTGGCAACTAAATGCTCTGTGGTGTTTTTTTCTATAAATGTGTGTCATCAAAGCTTTGGATTCGTTTTGAAAAAGCCTTCTTCTTTGTACTCCCTCTGCCCCAGGCTTGTCTCTATATCCCCTAACATGGCCCAGTAAAATCTTACCTTCCATTCACTCATTGGGAGGCAGCATATGCACTGGTTTGGAGTCAGGTGAATCTAGGTTCAAATTCTGGCTCCACACTTACCAGTTGTGTGACCTTGAGCAAGTGCTTAACCTCTCTGAGCTCCAGGTCACTTATCTGTAAAATGAGGATGACAGTACCTATCTCATAGGGTTGTTATAAAGATTCAATGAGATAATATATGTAAACCATATGCTTGGCACACAAAGAGTATTACAAAGTGACATTTTATTATTAATTCTATTTAACAATGCTTATTGATATCTACTACATTCCAAGCTCTGTACCAGACACTGGGCAAAAAAAAAAAAAAAAAAAGAGGAAGACAAGGTTCCTGCATTCAAGAAGATCAGAGTCTAGGTAAAAAGATGGAAAACATCTATAGATCTGAGGAAAGACAAAAGGAGAGTTATAACAAAAGTACAAATAATGCACAATGAGGATGCAGACAATGGAATCAATGAGGGTGGAGGAGGTAGGGGAAAATCAGGAATGACTTTTAGAAGAGGTGGTATTTGCCCTAAGTCTTGAAGGATGGGCAGTATTATGAAATGGAAAGGGAAGTCAATGTTTCTCCAGGCTTTGGGAGGAATAGCTCTCCTATGTAGGAATGTATATGTAATACAATCCAGGGAGCAGAGGGCAAAGAGACTACAGGGGTCACCTGGTGAGACAAAGGCGTGGAGCACAAAGAGAAAGCCAATAAGGTGGGTGCTGCCTGCTATGCTCGACTTGCCTCAGTGAGGCCAAAACACCAATCCCCTACCAGGCATCTTGCTCACTACCGCCATCTCTGAACTCCACAAAGCCAGTTCCCTCTCCACTCTATCTGCTTAACAAAGACAGTGAAGGGATATGATCTTTCACCTTCCCTCCACAGCACCCAGCTGTCTGTCCTTCTGGGACATCCTATCAGAAGGGGCACAGCTGCTGCCAAATGTGGAGTCTTGATCATACCAACTGCCTGGATGATGCTTTACAGTTTACAAAATTCACTACTTTAGTTGCTACTGTAGCAACATGGATGAGGCAACTGGGGCCCAAGGACATCCAGTGACTCACCCAAGGTCACACAGCAAGTTGCTTACTGGGAGAAGAAAAGTCATGGGTTCCAGTCCTCTGTCTCAGTCATCAACATCATCAATCACAAAGACAGATGCTTCTATACTGCAGCATATACTTTTCAGAGCCACTTATGGGAAGTAATTTCTTTTGCAGGGCAAGAAACTAGCAATAATCAACCTTCCCCCTCATTTAACCACAGCCAAGAACTAGATTGAACACTGACGCCTGCCTTTCACAAAGCATTTTCACAGATAATATCTGAACTTCACAACAAGCCTGCATTGTGGGTATTCTTATCATTCCAGTTTACAGATGAGGAAAGTGAGGCCAAGAAAGGGTAAGCAGCTTTCCCAAGGTCACACAGCTTAGAAGTGAATTCCTGCTGTATGATAACTGTGCAGCATGGAAGAGGCCTACCAGGTCTTGGGCAGGAGAGAACCAAAGTTCTACCTTATTTTGTCATGTATAAAGCATACACACATTCCTGGCCCAAACTTTCAGAAAAAAAAATTTCATTTTAATTTTTTATTCAATTACTTATTTGTATTTAGATACTTATTTTTGTATTATAAGGGAATTTTAGCATTTATTTTTTAACATATCATGGTACAAGAAATTTTATGTAACAAATAATTACAAAACACAAGAACAGATACAACGTACAAAACATTTTATGTACCAGTAACAAATTTACAATATTTATGCATCATTAGTACTACCCATGTATAATTTGCATCCTTATTTTTCCCTCAAAAATTTGGGCAAAGATGTTCATATTATACATGGCAAAATACAGCACTTCCATTTCAGCTAGTAACTGTCTTTGCAAGCTTTTTTTGTTTGTTTTTTTCTTCAGAATTTATTTTATTTTATATACTTATTTTTAGAAACAAGGGAAGAGAGGGAGAAAAAGAGGGAGAGAAACAGTGATGTGTGATTGCCTCTTGCACACCCCTAACCAGGGATCCAGCCCACAACCCAGGCGTGTGAGCTGACTGGGAACCAAAAAGATGACCCTTTGGTTCACAAACCAGCACTCAAACCACTGAGCCATGCCAGCCAAGGCCCTTTGCAACTTTAATCACTTAATCTTCCAGGTTCTCTGTTTCCTTGTCTACAAAATAAAGATAGCAATATCTCCTACCAAGGACATAATAGGATATTGTGAATATTAACTGAGATAATTAATAATTAATTAAAAAGTATTTTTGAAAAACAAAAAATGTCACATATAATTAGGAGAGACTAGGTGATAAATCCTAGGTGATAAATTAGGTGATAAATCCTTAGCTCAAAATGGCAGAAATCTCCCTCTCTCCACACCCATTGCTCTCTTCTCTCTCTGCCTACCTGTAATTACTTTCTGTCCTTTAGAGAAAGAGAGAGTGATTCAAGTGAAAAGAGAAGTTAGAGAGAGAAGGACAGAGTACAGAGAAAGGGGCAAGGAAAAAAAGGTCAACACAATGGGACTTCTGGTCAAGATGAAGGTGTAGCTGGATACATTTTGTCTCCTTGCACAACCAAAAGAAGGACACAACAAATTTAAAAACAAAAAATAACCAGAACTGCCAGAAAATCAAACTGTATGGAAGTCTGACAACCAAGGAGTTAAAGAGGAAACATTCATCCAGACTGGTGGAAAGGACAAATGGCGAGGTGGCAGCTGGCACACTGAGCAGTCTCACATTTGTGAGCAGATAAATGGGGAGGGACAATTGGGAAGTGAAAGAGACTGTGCAACCCAGGGTGCCAGTGAGGGGAAATAAAGCCTCAAAATCTCTGGTTGTAAAAGCTTGTGGGGGTTGCCACAGCAGGAGAAACTCCCAGCCTCACAGGAAAGTTTGTTGGATAGACCCACAGAGTTCTAGAACACACACAAACCTGCCCACTTGGGAAATAGCACCGGAAGAGCTCAATTTTGCTTGTGGGTAGCTGGGGAAGTGACTGAAAGCCAGCTGAGAGTTGAGCAAGTGGCACTGTTCCCTTTTGGACCCCTCATACAGCACCACAAACCAGATATATGAGTTTCCCTGCCCTGGGGACTACCTATGGCTCTGTCCCTTACTATGTAACAGGTGTGCCAAGGCAAAGAAATATGGCGCAAATGAAAAAACAGATCAAAGCTCCAGCTCTGGCTGGTATGTGGCTCAGTAGATTGAGCACTGGCTTGGGAACTAAAGGGTTGCTGGTTTGATTCCCAGTCAGGGCACATGCCTGGGTTGCAGGCCAGGTCCCCAGTAGGGGGCGCTTCAGAGGCAATCACACACTGATGTTTCTCTCCCTCTCTTTCTCCCTCCCTTCCCTTCTGTCTGAAAATAAATAAGTAAAATCTTTTTTTTTTAAGTTCCAAAAAAAGAACAAATCAATGAAGAGATAGCCAACCTACCAGATGCAGAGTTCAAAACACTGGTAATCAGGATGCTCACAGAAATGGTTGAGTATGTTCACAAAATAGAGGAAGAAGTGAAGGCTATGCTAAGTGAAATAAGGAAAATGTACAGGGAACCAGCAGTGACAGGAAGGAAATCAGGATTCACATCAATGATTTTGGACCAGAAGGAAGAAATAAACATTCAACCAGAACAGAAGGAAGAAACAAGAATTCCAAAAAATGAGGAGAGGCTTAGGAACCTCCTGGACGACTTTAAATATTCCAGCATCCCAGTCATAGGGGCGCCAGAGGAGAAAAAGAAGAGCAAGACATTGGAAACTTATTTGAAAAAGTAATGAAGGAGAACTTCTCCCATCTGGCAAGGAAATAGACTTCCAGGAAGTCCAGGAAGCTCAGAGAGCCCCAAAGAAGTTGGACCCAAGGAAGCACACACCAAGGTACATCATCGTTACACCACCCAAGAGTAAAGATAAGGAGAGAATCTCAAAAGCAGCAAGAGAAAAGGAGACAATCACCTACAAAGGAGTTCCAGAAGACTATCAAAAGAAACCTTGCAGGCAAGAAGGGGCTGGAAAGAAGTATTCCAAGTCATGAAAGGCAAGGACCTACATCCAAGATTACTCTATCCAGCAAAGCTATCATTCAGAATGGAAGGTCAGACAAAGGGCTTCCCAGATAAGGTCAACTTAAGGGAGTTCATCATCACCAAGCCGTTATTATATGAAATGTTAAAGGGGGCTTATCTAAGAAAAAGAAGAGATAAAAATGTGAACAGTAAAATGATAATAAATGCACAACTATCAATAACTGAACCTAAAAAAAAAAAAGAACAAACTAAGCAAACACCTGAACAGGAACAGATTCACAGAAATGGAGATTGAGGATCTTCAGCAGGGAGTGGGAGGGGAGAGAATAGGAGAAAAAGTACAGGGAATAAGAAGCATAAATGGTAGGTACAAAATAGATGGGGGGGGCGGGTGTTAAGAATAGTATGGGAAATGGAGAAGCCAAAGAAGTTATATGCATGACCCATGGCCATGAACTAAGGGATGGGGATTGCTGGAGGGAAGGAGGATACCAGGTGGAGGAGGGTAAGGAGGGAAAAATAGGGACAACTGTAATGGCATAATCAATCAAATATATTGATAAAAAAAAGAAAGGTGAACAGAATGGACAGTAGAGCAAAATAGGCTTGGCAAGATCAAAAGGAATGATAGATTAGGTAAGGGTGACAATTTTGTGGCTGGTGGGTTGAAGCCACCAGAGAGCTGGTCTATTTCACCACATTTCCTTTTTATCTTTTTATCTCCTTAAAATTGTGAGGAAATGAGATGGCTAACGAAATGACAACTACTTTCTCATTTTGCCCAGAGTTACTCTCAGGGCTGAAAGAAACTGCTTAGGGATAAGGTACTAGGCAGGGAGCCCAGACGCCTCAGTTTCTGTGGGCTCATGCCCTGTGACCTTTTCGTTGTTCACTGGAATTAGGGGAAGAAATGCAGAAATAACCCATGCTCAGCCCTGCTCTGACAGCACCCAGATGTACTTTTAAACCTTATAGCACAATGTCCTGGCTCTATCCCTGATCCACACTGAGGCTCTGGGGAAAAAAAGCTCTACCACAGGTTCTCTATTTCTAGCCCAACCTACCCAGGGCAGGAGATACAGGGGATGGTCAGGATTCAAAGGAACTCAGAGCCCCAGACTTTACCCAAATGTACTGATGGGGGGAAAGAGGAGATGGGAATATTTTAACAGGGTGATTAAGGGAGGGGGAAAAAAAGCTGAAAGAAAGAGGAAACTATGTAGTAAATTTGACAATCTCAGGTCACATGGCAGGCCTGACAAGCTCAGTTACTTCCCCAGCTGACCTCCCTTGAGACCTCCTCTCTCCCGGCCTCAAGTCGGAGGAGATATGACAGGTTGGTAAAAGTAACCTCAAAGGACGATATCAGAAATTTCTAACTGGGCAGGTCTTGGTGGGTAGTCATGGTCCAGGCCTGTAGCTTCCTTAGTAAAACATGAATCTCTGTCTAAGTGAATCTTGTCCATTGTTCTTGTGCATCCTAGGTTAATACACCTTAGAAATGCCAGATCATCTTTTCCAGACCCTGAAGGTCTACTCTCACTGGAGCACATGCACCAAATGTCCTCATTGTCACCTTGTTGCCATTTCTATTTACTGTAAATGTTAAATTCCAAAGATATCTCACTTTGCTTTCTTCCACCTCACAAATCTACCACAAATAGATTTCATGGAACTTCCTTACTTTCTCTCTCCTTTGATTCTAAATGTATGAAAAGAACTGCCAAACTGCCATTCTCCAGAGTATGGAGCATTTTCTCAGTCTGTTGAGATCTTGCTTCTGGGCATGTCCCGAGTTTAAATAAACTCTAATAAACTCACAGATTTTTTTCTATAGGTTTGGAAATTCTTATGTTGACAGAAAAAATGCATGGAGAGCTGTAAAACCTAGCTTCTAGTCCCAGCTCTACCACTTAGCTGTGTGACAGGGGCCTCTGTTTCCTTATTAGTAACAGAATGTCATCTCTCATGCCAAACCTTCACCCTCCCTGCTTCGAAGTACTTCAGCAAGAACTAAGTAAGAAAGGAAAACTCAAGGACCAGACGTCATAGTGTCAAGTTGGAAGAGGAAAGCTGCAATAACCAATTAAACCTAGTGTCACAGTGTTCACAGGTGTAGAGGGAACGGAGATCCTGGCACTGAAGTCTATGTGCACAGTGAGGGGCTGAGATTTTAGTGTTCCCACAGGGCCCACTGGTACAGAATTTGCAAAACAGGAGACACCCAGATCTCATGCTTCCTTAGGCAACTCATTGAGGGGAGGGTGTGGCCACAGCTCCCCACAAGGCTGCTCCCTACCGCGTTTTCGCCAGCAGGGCCCCTCCCGCACGGAATAGGACAGCTCCACGAATTCAATGTCAACAGCTGAGCGCTTAGGTAGGTGGGAGAAGCGCTGGGCTTCGGTGATGTGGTTCTCCACCTTCTTCAGGTGTGTGGTCAGCACAGGGGGATCCCCCACATCCTCCAGCGCCACGGCCATGGTCACAGCCCCCGGTCCTAGCCCACAGCCCACGGCCTCCAGTGCCTTCTCCGCCATCATGCTGGCAACCTGCAGTAGAACGGCCTGCTCAGTTCCGGGCAGACCCCCAAGCTCCAGCTCAACGCTCCCTGTTTGCTTACTTCTGCCCCCACCCCAACCTCCGACTCCTTCTCAGGGCAGGTAAGCTACTGCGAGCACCTTACTTCCCACAGCCAGAGCATCTGCCCCACACACCCAGTGCAGCTACACAGTCCCAACCTCTCGTTTGGTCTGGGACAGCCCCAACCCCAGCCTGGCCACAGCATCGCATCTCGACACCCTCACCAGCTCCCTCCTCCAAACTGCCACTCTAATGTCCTTATCCTGGAGGCCTGCAGCCCCAGGGGACTTGGTGGTTGGGGGTTGGGGAGGAGGGAAGAGATAGTTGACCACTAGGAGGTCATGGTAGCAGTGTAAGGCCAGGGTGAAGGCGTGGGGGGTGGGGTGGAGTGGAGTGGATAAGAAGACTCTGGGCCTCTCCCCATCCCTGAGCACAACGCCCTGGCCCTCCGGTACCCCTGGGTCCGTGTGCCCTGGGCGCTTCCCAAAGGCTGGAGCACTACTCGAACTCAACCCTCTCGCCCCCGGCCAACTAAGTGCTCAAGGCCAGCTTACCCCCTCCCATCTCCTGCATGCCTAGTCACCTTGAGGTGCCCCTGGGCAGGTGTGGGCCAAGATGCTTCGTGCTGTCTCAGGCTGAGGATGGAGGATGGAGACCCAGGGCTGCAGCACAAGAGTCCGAGCTCCCGGTCCCCGCAGCCCGGGCAGGGGCGGGGCCGGGGTGAAGTGGTCAGCAAGAGAGGGCCCGGCCTCAAGTTGGAGGAGAGATGACAGGTCGGTGGTGGTGGGGGAGGGTTGGGGCGCTCCCCAGTTCCTCTGGACTGTGCACACCGGGTCTCTGAGCCTTTTCCTCCCGAGCCCTTTGGAGGACTGCACTCTCCTCCAAGCTACAGGAACAACGGGACCCTGTTCTTAAAGGGCCCGCGCCCACCCGCAGCTCGAAGGGAGCAAGGATGGCCAAGAAGAAAGCAACGCAGATGACGCATGGCCCGAATGAATGCAGTTGTGGACTCGGGACCGGGACCGAAAAGTTGGCGATGAAGGGCTGACATGGGGACAGAGAGGAAAGGACGGCTGAAGTCTCTCGGTAGGGACAGGTACCTGTATTACAGATTAGACTATGGTGGTGGTGGGGTGGGGGAGGATTGGGGTGCAGATTCCAACACCCTCAAGGGATTGTGAAGCTGTAAACCAATCTGCATCCCGCGCTCTCCTCCACCAATGTATTTCCCTCGGTTCTGGCCCTGGAGCTCAGGCTTCCCTCAGAGAATCCCCAAATTAGATAAAAGGGCTTTAAAATCCAGAGTCAAGTACATCCCCCTCCTCCTCCCCAACACGGTCCCTCTCTAAGGACAAGGAAGCTAGTTTAGGAGAGATAGGGTAGCCACTTTGGGAGAGCTTGAGCAGCCTCAAGTTTAAACTGGTACCCAGAGCTCAGCCTGCTCCGACTATAGAAATCTTTAATCTCTCAGGTAAACTCAGGCCTTTAAGACAGGCATATGCCTGATGCTTGATGCACATGGTTACCAGGACATGTACAGGGCTCACAGACACTGCCTGAGGCATCTTCACATCACATGTGCATTCTTTTCTCTCCCCACAAACCCTCAGAGATGTAGGTCCCTAGAGCACTCTTGGGACATTCCCCTGCTTCTTTTTTTCCCCCCCAAAAAGATTTTATTTATTTATTTTTTTTAGAGAGAGGGGAAAGGAAGGAGAGAGGGAGAAAAACATCAATGTGTGGTTATCTCTCAAACGCCCCCTACTGGGGAACTGGCCCGCAACCCAGGCATGTGCCCTGACTGGGAATCAGGGCCAGTGACCCTTTGGTTTGTAGGCCGGAGCTCATCCACTGAGCTACACCAGCCAGGGTTCCCCTGCTTCTTTCTCAAGCAATTCACTTTGGCCCCTATCTGCCCCAGCCCTAGTCTTCATGGGGTAAGTATGTTAGCTAGCTGAGACATGTGACTTGAGCTTTTCAGTTCCTACTGTCACACAGCAGACTGATGAGAGAGAAGGCTGCTGATGCTGGTGTTGGTTCTGGCGCTGCCGCCACCACTGAGGCTTCTCCTTACTGCCACAGTTGAGAGGTTATTAGCACTCAAACCTCCTCCCCAATCATCCCCCACCTCCAGCCTCTCTGAACCCGGGAGGCTGGTAACCCTTGCAGGACATCTCCAGGTTTCATCTGTTACTGTGAGGGTTTAGGTGGGTTGTGGAGCCAGTCCTTCCTACTGTCCCTCCACTCCATGCGCTGCATCACCACCATTCCTCAGGACCAATGTTCCCTTCTTCGGATGGATCCTTGATTCTTCAAGTTAATCTCTGCAGGAGTTCAGAACAAGTCACCCCAAGATGTGCCTCTGTGGCATGAGCTAAAAGCGACCAAGACCCTTCAGGCCCAAGAGAACACCCTCCCCCTTTAAATACCTAGAGGGATTTGAAGTAGTGGCCTTCCCACAATAAGAGATTATCAGAGATAACCTTTTTAACATATCTATAGGGCAAGGCAAACTCCTGCAGTGACACTTAAGGGTCCCCAAGGTGGCTTACCTTTTCCCTAGTTCAGAATGTCATATATAACGTTGTGCTTCACAATTTTTCTTTCTGTTTGGGAACTCTCATGTATATGAAACCTCTTTCATGTATGTAGAGTTCTCATACATATTTATAAAATTAATTGGTTTTCCCTTGCTAAACTGGCTCATATCTATCTGATTATTAAATCAGCTGAAATAACCTTGAGGGTAGAGGAAAGTTTCTTCCACCCCCACACTTGCAATGCTCCACTACAGACACCACAACAGTTGCTTTTATTGAACAAATACTACGAACATTATCTCATTTAATCTTAAAAAATCCTTATAAAGTGGGTATGACCATCTCTCTTCAGAGATAAAGAAACTGAAGCATAGGGAGGTTAAGCAATGTGCCTAAGGGGACATATCTGGTTGGTAGCACAGCAGAGATTGAATCCTAAACTCATTCTTCTATGGGGCCTCTCAGAACCCTATTCTCAAATCAATTTTCTCCCTCCATTTTCTAGACAAGCTTTTCAGTCTCCCAAGATACTCTCCATACCTCAATGACTCCCCACTTTATGCCCTGGCATAAAACTTTCCAGTTCTTAGTAAAATTTCTTCCATTTTACTAGGAACATACACTGTCCCCCATTCCTCAGGACAAGCTCCTCTATCTTCAGAGACCAATATTTCCAAGTCTTATATCAGCTTTTTACAATGTGGATTCACACCCCATGCCCAAGAGCAGTGGTCTTCAGTCTTGGATGAGAGTTAGTTGACTTGAGGGAGTTTTAAAAGATGTCTAGATAACACTCCAAAGTCCTTTCTGATGTCTAAGAGGGTTCCAAGATTTAGGTATTATTAAAAGCTCCCACTGATCCCACTGCATAGGAAAGTTTAGAGCCACTACCCTAGATGAATCTTCCATACCCTGGGTAAGGACCCCTACCATGCACCCATAGAATAGCCCTTCACATTTGATAAGACATCCATTCACCATAACCTGAACTTGGAGTCAGAAGATTTACATTCTTTTTTTTCAAAATACATCTTATTGATTATGCCATTACAGTTGTCCCTATTTTTCCCTCCTTACCCTCCTCCACCTGGTATCCTCCTTCCCTCCAGCAATCCCCACCCCCTTAGTTCATGGCCATGGGTCATGCATATAACCTCTTTGGCTTCTCCATTTCCCATACTATTCTTAACACCCGCCCCCCCCCCCATCTATTTTGTACCTACCATTTATGCTTCTTATTCCCTGTACTTTTTCTCCTATTCTCTCCCCTCCCACTCCCTGCTGAAGATCCTCAATCTCCATTTCTGTGAATCTGTTCCTGTTCAGGTGTTTGCTTAGTTTGTTCTTTTTTTTTTTTAGGTTCAGTTATTGATAGTTGTGCATTTATTATCATTTTACTGTTCACATTTTTATCTCTTCTTTTTCTTAGATAAGCCCCCTTTAACATTTCATATAATAACGGCTTGGTGATGATGAACTCCCTTAAGTTGACCTTATCTGGGAAGCCCTTTGTCTGACCTTCCATTCTGAATGATAGCTTTGCTGGATAGAGTAATCTTGGATGTAGGTCCTTGCCTTTCATGACTTGGAATACTTCTTTCCAGCCCCTTCTTGCCTGCAAGGTTTCTTTTGATAGTCTTCTGGAACTCCTTTGTAGGTGATTGTCTCCTTTTCTCTTGCTGCTTTTGAGATTCTCTCCTTATCTTTACTCTTGGGTGGTGTAACGATGATGTACCTTGGTGTGTGCTTCCTTGGGTCCAACTTCTTTGGGGCTCTCTGAGCTTCCTGGACTTCCTGGAAGTCTATTTCCTTGCCAGATGGGGGAAGTTCTCCTTCATTACTTTTTCAAATAAGTTTCCAATGTCTTGCTCTTCTTTTTCTCCTCTGGTGCCCCTATGACTGGGATGCTGGAATATTTAAAGTCGTCCAGGAGGTTCCTAAGCCTCTCCTCATTTTTTGGAATTCTTGTTTCTTCCTTCTGCTCTGGTTGAATGTTTATTTCTTCCTTCTGGTCCAAAATCATTGATGTGAATCCTGATTTCCTTCCTGTCACTGCTGGTTCCCTGTACATTTTCCTTATTTCACTTAGCATAGCCTTCACTTCTTCCTCTATTTTGTGAACATACTCAACCTTTGCTGTGAGCATCCTGATTACCAGTGTTTTGAACTCTGCATCTGGTAGGTTGGCTATCTCTCCATGGCTTAATTCTTTTTTTTTTAAAGATTTTATTTATTTATCTTTAGAGGGGAAGGGAAGAAGAGGAGAGAAATATCAATGTATGGTTGCCTCTCATGGGTCCCCTACTGGGAACTGGCCTGCAACCCAGGCATGTGCCCTGACTGCAAACCGAACCACAATCCTTTGTTTCGCAGGCCTGCGCTCAATCCACTGAGCTACACCAGCCAGGGTGGCTTAATTCTTTTTTTTGGAGCTTTGATCTATCATTTGGGCCGTGTTTTTTTTCTAGGGGTGCCTGTTAAGTAGTAAGGGGTGGAGCCTTAGGTATTCCCCAACGTGGGGCAACCCACATAGCTGGTTTGTGGTACTCTATGTGGGAGGGGGGCACTCCAAAAGGGAACAATGCCACTTGCTCAACTCTCAGCTGGCTTTCAGTCACTTCCCCAGCTACCCACAAGCAAAATCGGGCCCTTCTGGTGCTGTTTCCCAAGTGGGTGGGTTTGTGTGTGTTCTAGGATCCTGTGGGTCTCTCCAATAAACTCTCCTGTGAGGCTGGGAGTTTCTCCTGCTGTGGCAAGCCCCACAAGTTTTTACAGCCAGAGGTTTTGAGGCTTTATTTCCCCACACTGGAACCCTGTGTTCTGCGGCCTGTCTCACTTGCCAATTGTTCCTTCTGGTTTTCATCAGGAAAATGTGGAACAGCCTGGTCCTCCAACACATCCTCTCCACCCCAGCACCCATCTGTGCCCCTCCAACCAGTCTGAAATATTTCTTCTTTAACTCCTTGGTTGTCAGACTTCTATACAGTTTGATTTTCTAGTAGTTCTGGTTATTTTTTTCTTTTTAAATTTGTTGTTGTCCTTCTTTTGGCTGTGTGAGGAGACAGAGTGTATTTACCAAGCTTCCATCTTGA